GGGTTCTCCCCTCCGTTCGCTTTAAAGTGTGCGTAGAGAAAGATTAAACGCGTCGTATATTTGTTGAATAAACGCATCGTTTCATAGAGGTTTTGGGAACATATAAGCCAGCGTCATTCAAAATACGCGTACAGAAAAATTAAACACGTCGTATGTTTGTTGAATAAACGCTACATTTCCTCTACCTTTCGGGAACATATAAGCAAACGTCACTTATAAAACTCGTAAGGTAAGATTAAACACGCCGTATGTTTGTTGAATAAACGCTACGTTTCATGGAGTTTTTAGGAATAAATAAGCCAACGTCACTTAAAATGCGCGTAAGGAAAACTAAACATGTCGTATGTTTGTTGAATAAACGGTATATTTCATATAGCTTTCGGTAACATATAAGCTAACTTCACTTAAAGTACGTGTAAGGTAAGATTAAGCACGTCGTATGTTTGTTGAATAAACGTTACATTTCATATTGCTTTCGGGAACATATAAGCTAACGTCACTTAAAGAACTCTTAAGGTAAGATTAAAAAACGTCGTATATTTGTTGAATAAACGCAACGTTTCATAGAGTTTTTGGGAATATATAAGCCAACGTCACTTAAAATGCGCGTATGGAAAGATTAAACACGCCTTATTGTTGTTGAATAAACGCTATATTTCATATAGCTTTTGGGAATATATAAGCTAAGGGGGGAGGTTCTCCCCCGTTCGCTTAAAGTGTGCGTAGAGAAAGATTAAACACGTCGTTTATTTGTTAAATAAACGCTACCTTTCATATAGTTTTTGTTAACATACAAGCTAAAGGGAGGAGTTACCTCCCAGTTCACTTAAAATACCCGTAGGGAAAGATATAACACAGCGTATGTTTGCTGAAGAAAAACGCTACATATCATCTATAGCTTTTGGAAACATATCACTTAAAATGCACGTTGGGAAAGATTAAACACGTCGTATTGTCGCTGTATTGTTGTTGAATAAACGCTACATTTCATATTGTTTTCGGGAGCATATAAGCTAAAGGGGGGAGGTTCTCCCCCCGTTCGCTTAAAGCGTGCGTAGAGAAAGATTAAACGCGTCGTATATTTGTTGAATAAACGCTACCTTTCATATAACTTTTGGGAAGATATAAGCTAAAGAGGGAAAGTCTGCCCTCCGTACACTGAAAGTGTGCGGAGAGGAGGATTAAACACGTCATATGTTTGTTGGTAAGTCATGAAAACATAAAAATTTTTATATTTGCGTGCACCGAGGTCTGCTACAATTCATGTCAGGCGTTGAAAGGAAACAGAGTTCTAGCACAGGCTCTCGATAATTTACGCGGCGTCTTTTCCGTCTTGCTTTAAATTGTGCGTAGAAAAAGAATTAAAAATATACCTGATTGATTTACTCATGTTTCAAATTTGATTTAAGTTTTGAAACAGAAATACAAAACATTTCCTGTACCTTTCTGGGACATACAGGTTTAACATGTTTGTCGTAACTGAATATTTCAGTATCTGTAAACCGTGCGTAAAGAAATATGCCGTAATACGTTACATTTACAACAGCGAAAATCCTTCGTAAAGATTAGATTTCTTTTTCGGTACACTTTAATCGATCTTAAAGTCTGCTTAAATATTTCCCTGTCTTTAAAGTCTCAATACGGATGTCGTAAATTTTGCTTAAATATCTGTTTTCGTGCTGTGATAGGATTGGGTATGCTTGCAGTTGCGTCCGCACGTGTTTGCCAATAAGACTCGGGCCGCCGCATGGGTGTGGCACCTGAGACAAAATAAATAAAAATCCACACATACATAGCCTAATCGTCAAATTATTAGGAAGCAAGAATAATTACAAAATACAAGAAAACAGAAGAAAATAATGAAATACAAGGCATACAAATTCCTACATGCTAGACAGAAATTCGATATTCAAAATTATTGAAATTCTTAAAATTCTCTTAAACTTCTAAAACAAAAAAGTTTGCCTAATTCTATGTAATAACCAAATTGTACACTCTTACTAGTGTCACCAGCCTGAGACTGTTGCTGCTCTCCCGACATGACGACACTTTGGGTTTCTGGACAGCGAAAAAACACGTCCTTCTCCTGGCAATGTGCTTGTTGACTCACGGAGAGTCCTTGATAAAGGCAGTATGAGCCCAGATCCCATAATCTGAGACTGGGGATGATTGAAGCCACCCAGTAAAAGAAGTGACATCAAAGCAGTTGAGACCTCAACCAGTTCGGATGTCGAATATTGAAAATGGCAAACATTGTACAAATGCATGTTGATTTCCCCTATATTCTAGGCAAATTGTAAATTATACATGCACCCATTGAAGAAAAATCTCTATAAAGCCGAACGCGATAAAATTTACAAAAGGAGGTGATATGTTAAGGAGGAAAATGTTCAGCATTCTTTTTAAGGAACAAACGTAGGTTTCAAAGTTTTACATCAAAGAACAAAAGATGCGAGTACCGCAACAGAACACGTTGCCGGTTATTGCTAGAAGATTTTGCGAAAAAAATGAGTAATAAAACGGGTATTGGACTGTGTTTTGACAAAAATATTTGTTTAGAAATTGTAAGCATCTATTTTCCTCCACATGCCACCATTTTCTTGCCACCAGTTTGTTAACACAAAATGTAATATTTAAAAACGTTTACTGCTACTTGTCCGTTTTTACGACCACAATAATTGTCTGGCTACTAAGCTACCAGAAGGTCACGTGGATTATTTTATCAGAAAGAGTCCGCTCTTTGTAAATCTTCCCGGTTCTGAGTCCAGAATTTTCATTTTGTCCAGTGAGACGCATGCCCGTAGCCAGGATTTGGAAGGGGGGGGGGTTCTTCCCACTGCTTGAGGCGGCACAACACAGTATTATCCCTATGGGGATTTCTATAGTTAAGGACCCCAAAGTGACTCACTTCGACTCAGTGAAAATCATGGTAGGGTGCACAAGCAAGGTTCAGAATTTCGATATGTTTAATTTCAGGGTATAGTGTACAAAATATGTGAAAATGACCTTAGATTTGCCGGCTAGTTCTCTTCTCATGCCCTCTTTTATTAGCGCCACTGCGGAGGTCATAGAACTGTGTGCACAGCCGACGCACAGTACTAGGCGGGACAAGTATCCAAGCGCAAATCTACGCCGACTAAACACGCACCATAATTCAACTTTTACAGTCTCAAAACTGACGTATTCCTCTAACATTTAATACAGGTTCTATCTCGATACCATGCACAGAACAATCTCTGCACCCTTCTCTAGTATTGTGCAGCACTACTTTGTGCCCGGACTACTTTTGACTACGAGGTTCGACCATAAATACTGTGTTGTGCGGCCTTGAGGGACCAACGAGCGCCGAAGGCGCGAGGTTCCTATAGGGGTGAGGGTGGGCATGCTCCCCCGGAAAATTTTGAAAAATGAACCTTCTAAAATGGCATTTCGTGCGTTTTTGAGAGGTTTTCCAAGAAAAAAAATCAGAGATGAATTTTTATTCAATAACAAAGTTATTCTACGATTCCAGTCCATCTTTTCAACAAAAATCTTGGACCCTTACATAAAAAGAGGACCTTTGAGCCTTGCGAGCCTCTTCCGAAACCCCCCACCCCCCTGGCTACGGGCATGAGATGGAGTGTTCTGGATATTCTATGTGTATACGTTGAACTGGTAGAACTTGGGGCGAAACAGAACGCTCGTCAAAACACGGTTTTTTCGAGCACTAACACCCGAGTTCTACTAGTTCAGAAGTGTCTCAACATATATACATAGAATCTCCAGGACACTCCGATAAAGTGAAAATTCTGGACTCAGAACCGGATTTCTTTGCGAGAGTCACTGATTGAGGAATATACTACTTACTGATAATTCTACGTGACTGATGAACCTCTTCAACGATTTGCGTTGAAGAGGTTCATCCAACACTGAACAATTTGTCGTGTATACCAAAAGGTGCAAAAGCTGCATGGATGGTTAAAATCATTATATCCTATCCGTCTATATTTTATGTAACTCGGAATCTGCGAAATAACGATTTATAGATATCTAGTAATTCAAAGAAATATCCTGTATTTGATTCAAAATTTAAAGGTTCATACATCTCACGGTTGCAAATTGTGATTTATATCTCAAACAATAGACTAACATTCCATGTCAATTTCACATTTCAACCATCTTTGACGTGAGTTTAGTTTAACTAATTTGTCTTTGTGTAGGGACTTTAGGTACTAAAGACGCTACTCAAGAAAATCTATGACCTGTAAGTTCTGTTTACATTCCCATGAAGCGGCCAGGGTTTGCTTAGATGTTTGGGACAACAGCATTACCGAAAGGCGGCGTGTACACCGTGGGACAGCCGCCTTTCCAGGTCTACTGCTACCAAGAGCTGTAAGGAGGTACGAACAAAGAGTAGACCAGTATACACTAGCCTGATTAAATCGCTTTTGCCGGCCGCCCAACATCCAGCCGGCCCCCGAAAAGCTTGATGGGGAGTCCCTCTAAGTCGGGGGAACCAGGCTTTCCAAATATGGATAATTTATTCTGTCGTCATCCGCTCACCGCACCCGGCACGCTCCCGCCCAGCGGATCGGGTGTTGGCGATTGACATCGGCACGCGTCTGATCTGTCCGTGCCCGCGGTGGGAGGAGCCAACTATGAATGCACAATTTATTAAAATGATGTTGTTGTCTCTAGTTTCACACGATTTTTCTCAAAATGGCGGCAAACACGCCGAGGAAGGAATGTGAGGAAATTAGTCTTGATGGAATTCCTTCTGATAGATGCGCCAACTGTGCCAAAACTTTTGAGGGAACAATGGGAAGACATCGCAGGAACATTTTGGAACTGACACGGGCCTGTCAAGTGCAGGGTACAGTATCAAACAGGCAGTGGAAAGTTTGGCCGACGTCTCTATCAGCTCTTCAGTGTCAAAACAACATGCCGCCTTCGTGTGTAATGACTGCTTTTATTCGGTCAAGTCTTTCGTCGCTGGCAGCAAGAAAACACGGGAGGCGAAGCAAAAGTTTCAAGAAGCGGGAAGTAGCGGTTTCCTCAGTCGGAGGTTCAAGAGAGGACGCAATATCTCTCGGGAGTCCACGCCAAAGAAACCGAGGAAAAAGTTGTTCTCGCCATTATCGCCACACCACACACCACATGTGCAGAAGACAGCTCCAAAGGAACCTTCCACGATCAGAGTGAGTTATTCTTGTAAATGCTTTTCCTTCCGATAATCGCAAACATTTCTGTCAAGTTTTAAACTTTTCGGTAGAGACTATTTTAACGACGAACAAGTGTGACTAGTTGTTAATGTTGTGTTACTCGATTTTGTGTATTGCATTGTTTTCTTTGAAGTTCATCGCAAAAATGCCGACGATATGAGCAGATTTTTGAAGGATAACACCACGAGAGCAATTTTTCCTGGGTCGTAGTTGCGCTCCAATTTGTTGTGTGCACTGTTTACTAGCGGAATATTATTTCCCGGTTCGTCTAGTTTTGCTCCTATATATTTTTTTTCATGTCGGAGTGCACTGTTTACATTATTATTCAATGGATTATAGTATACTGTTTTATGCTTCACCAGTAGATTGACGATATTTCTGACTCCCCTATTTCTAAACTTCAATGACCAATGATAGGAGGATGGCATCAAGGCATGTCAGTATTTTAAACGCATGTATCAACATTATGCAACATTATATAGACTCAATGTAAAAATTGCATGTTTTGAAGTCTTCACAGTATACCATACAGACTTGTAAGTTGTACTTTGTACAAAGTACAAACCAAGCAGGTTTTTAACTTCGTACAAACTTACTCTTGTATCATGTAACAGTTAAGGAAAGTTAGTAAAGAATATGGAGGTTGTCAGAAAATGTTCATGCATTCTCTTCCAAGATTAGAGGTTGAGGAATGAAAGTAGTTTTCACCTCAATCTGACATCATCTTCCTTCTTTCTTTTTTTGTATCATGATCAACTTGATTAATTTCATACATACTTGTAACATTTGGAAGTACCCTTAATTTTTCTTCTCCAGGGATATAGCTGCCTTATAAGTTTAAAAAAAAATAACTAGGTGTGAGTAAGTGAGTTTTTTCCTGAATTATATGGTTCCAATGGTTCTTGTATGCTTTTTGTTTGCCATACAACTTTTCCTGACTGTATCTCTTTTTTTTTCTAGGTGTCAGTAGGAGCCAAAAATGACCGCAAACTTGGACCACACATGTCGAACATTGTAAGACCACTTCTCAAATCAAACTTTTCATCTGTTGCGAATGCTGTGTGTTGTCACAAAAAAATCAGACCATTCATTATCCTCAACATCCTGTCTGACATAAACAGGGAGGCAAAAGAACTGTGTCAGCCATCAAACCCGTCAATCCTCCGGAGCTGTGACAGTACATCACTCCCAAGCATCAACACATCTAGCATAGGAGCAGAGTTACAGCAAAGAGCCCCACTGATTACAAGAGTTTTGAAAGTGATTGCAAATCAGTCAAATGAAACCATCAAAACAAGAATGTCCAAGTCCAGGATCAACACTAAGAAGACAAGAACACACAGGAGAAAGGTGACAATCAAGGCAAGGACAAAGAAGAGGTTGAAGCAGGAGGGAACACGGCGCCCTATGATGATAACAGCTGCAGCCTGCCTGTTGTACGCCAGAAACAGGACAATGTCTGCTTGGCAAGTTATCCAAGGACTGGGACTTTTCAAATGCCATGCTTCCAAGGTTCTATACCAACGAATGAACACATGCGGTCTAGCTGTCAGCCACAAAAAAATACTACAGACAGTGGACAAATTGTCAGTGCACTATGACAAAGGAGTGCTGGGATGGAAGAAGATGTTGGAAAGCGTCGGCTCACACACGGAGATTGAAGCAACATCAGTCGAAGGCTCACACGTGGAGAGTGGAGGTGTACACACAGAGATTGAAGCAACTACAGTCGAAGGCTCACACATGGAGAGTGGAGGTGTCAGTTGTCCAGGTTACAGCATAGTATTCGACAATATTGACATACATCAAAAGGTCCGCCATAAAACATCCCAAAACAGCAACAAGGACCATCATTTTGTGAACGCATATGGAGTTCCAGACCGGGTGAATGTCCAACACCTACCCAATGACCAACCCATGGCTGACATACTCTCCGTCCCCCTCCAGGAGTTTCTCCCCAGTGAGGAAGACCACTCCTCACTTCGAGACGACATGATCACAATTTCTTCGAGGATAGTAGTGAAACACATTCCATTCTTCAACAAATACTTCAAAGACTGTGTGCAACAACATATTCCACACATGTATTCTGAACAGGCCAAACAAAAGTCCCACATCGTGCCATTGGGAATTCTGGAGAAAAATGAAAGTAAACTGGAGGACATGATTGCCATAATGGAAGAATATCAGAAGTATGTCCCGGAGGGACAGAAGATTCCTTTGGAGGGGGATGGCCTCTCAAACATGCGCGGAGTTGAAGCACAGGATGCCCGACGCGATGGAGCTTCTGCAGCAGATAGGCTGGAGGGACTTGAACTTGTCACAGCAGAGTGGCATGCACATGTGGCCGCTCTGCAAGACATCTTCGACGAGTTTTATGACCCCAGGTCTGCCCGTGAAAAGGGCACACTCTTCCAGCTGAGAAACAGGTTTGATAGGAGGAGTGTAACGAAGTCGACGAAGGACTCCTTCAATCCAAACCGGGAGTTCATCCACTTCGTGTCGTCAGGGATGCTGATCATGGCAGTGATGGAAACCCTTGGCCTGACCAACGTCAAAGGCAGACCATCAGATGCACCCAGGGGCATAGAAGCTAATTCCCTGGACAGTAGAAGATGCTACCTCAGGTCTGCAATCGGAAAAGTGATCGACCAACACATCCTCCTCAGTTTCAACACAAGTGCTGTCGTAACGGAGGTTGAGACCAGGCAGAATGCTGCAGTACCAGAGGGTAGAGTTCCGTGTGGTTTCCCTGGCTGCCCAAAACATTATGCAAGAGATGGTGCCTGCCTGAGGAGACACAGGGAACGGTGCATTTGGAGTAGAATTAATGTATTTGGACAGGCAAACGAGGAAGAGAGAGAAGAAGTTGGACAGGCACACGAGGAAGAGAGAGAAGAAGTTGCACAGGCACATGAGGAAGAGAGAGAAGAAGTTGCACAGGCACATGAGGAAGAGAGAGAAGAAGTTGCACAGGCACATGAGGAAGAGAGAGAAGAAGTTGCACAGGCACATGAGGAAGAGAGAGAAGAAGTTGCACAGGCACATGAGGAAGAGAGAGAGGAGGGCAACCTTCACCACAAGAAAGGACAGACAGAAAAGTCATTGAATACCAGTAGTAAGGAAGATCACAAGTATAACTATAACTGCTCCGTTCTAAGGGAGGGGTTGTACGAAATGGTTAAAAAAGACGCAGTAAACGAGGGTGACGGGAACAGAATATTCCGGAACTGGAAGTTCGACATGATCCAGTATTACCAACACAAACACACACATTACAAGGACTTGGCATTTAGATACATTGCGCAACACAAGGCCCTACTCACACCCAGACTTTCAGCTTCAATCTTGCACAATAAAACCATCAACACACATGGGGTTCCTGGGAAGAACATTCCTAAAGATCTGTACATGGAGTTCCTGAACAAAACAGCAAAGGAGGGACTTGCAAAACTGGGGCCAAACATGACTTCGAAGACAGTAGCCAGAGAAGGACGAAGCCTAGGTGTATTGCAGGAAGTGCTGGACACTTTTGACAAGGACTTAGTTGGATACCGAGGGATAGGGAAGCACACTGTTCCAGACGATTCGGAAGAAATCAACATGCTGGTTGAAGACATGCAATCAGAAGACCCTTTCAAAGTCATCCCAGGGCGGTTTCACCCAACCTTTCCGACTTGCCAGCAATCTAGGCACCACAACATTGACGCCCAGAAAATGACAGCATGGATGATAGCTCAGAAGGAGAAGCTTGGAAGACGACAGCATCACCTTTGAGGTACCAGCCTAAACTATTATGATAATGAAATTAATGGTGCTAGCATGAATGTAAAATTAAAAGGAAAACTTCACAAAAATGAAGTCTGACAGGTGTAAATGTTCTACTTATATCATTTCTGTCTTTGCACGTGGTCATCTGATCCTTGTATTTGTAAGTATAATAATTAAGAATTTACAGTAAACATGATAAACAATGGACACAAGTTGCACTTTTTCTTTCACTTTTTCTTTTATCTTCAGCTGACCTAAGAGTAATTCTGCCACCTGTTAAGTCAGAGATGAATGATTCTTTAGAATTAAAGATAACTTCACTGCAACTGCATTAAACTGTATTTATAAGAAATATATACAGTTAATGATATTGTTTCAATTGTCTTGATGTACAGTTGAAAGTGACCTAAATGCTATTTGATTCATTATTACTACATGTACATATTCTTATTTTGCAGTTTGCAGAATTCCAGGCTGCTGGATCAGGAGCTGATCACGTGAGAGATGTGGGCATCAAAGAAGACCTGGGAAAGAACTGTTAGTTGCAGTAGGGAATGTACACAGAAAGTCCTCTTTTAGTCTAAACCAGACGTTTATTCGCTTGATAAGTTTCCATTGCACACGTTTGTATATCCAAATTTACAATAGTCTGGAATGTATACAAACTTTTGTTGCTGCTGTAGACTTGTACATAGGTAGTAATTCTGCACAGTTAATTGTAACTTAAGCATAATTTTTTACCATAAGGTTGTCATAAAAACTGAATAATTCTTTGAAATATTGCCGGTACTGTAATATAAGAACTGAAGATGAGTAATATCAATAGTAGCATTGTAGAATATATTGTGTTTTAACAGTTTCTTTCTTGGCTTTGTTAACAGTTAGTTAACAGTAGAGAACTGACAAATCACAGATTTCAAGTCTTACTGGAATGACTCTTCTAAGATTGTGAATACCATGTCAACCACTTCCTCGTCCCACAAACCAATGTTAGTTATGATGTCGTCCCTAGCTACCAAGGTGGCACAGCTGTCAACAATATTGTCTATAGTGGAAAGACTTAAACCTATGGTGATGTCAAAATTGTACAGTGAGGGTTTCATTTCATCCAAGAGATCATTTCTGTAGTCGATCAGAGATTCTTTCAACATGTGTAGCTGTTCTTCTGTGGGCTGACGATAGCTAGACACTTTTAATAGTTCCTCATCAGAAAGTTCAGGAACTGATGACAGACCTTCATGTTTGTTCCAGGGAAAAGAATCCCCACATTCTACACATAGGTCACAGCATGTGTCCTTATCAGATACCTCCACAGAAGAATGTGTATCAGAACTTTTGAGCTTGAAATAATCTAGTAAATACTTCCTACGACAACTCCCACTTGCCAGTTTGCAATAGCCTGACATTGACTGTGAACATGATCCCTTGGCAAGTGTTCTACTCTGGTGCAGAATCAGGGAATGTGAAGGTCTACCATCCCTTCCCCCCTCCCACTTTCTTGGTAGAAACCTTCAACATGTCTTGGGGCACCCCAGTGAATCACTGCGAAAACATCTGGGACATCTATACCCATCCCAAATGCTACAGTTGCAATTGTAACTCTTACCATACTATCAGTGTTTCTGAAATCATCCAAAAGGAAATTTTTATTTGTCTCTGCAGAGCTCCTGTGGAACATTGCTACTCTTCTATTCTTGTAGGACTTTGTCATCATATTACATACCAGATTATATGCATCATCACCCAAAGAAGTCATGAACATGTCATACAACTGAGAGCAGCTTTTAATGCTACGGCAGTATATGATGTATTTTCTACAAGACTGTCCCTTACTTTTAAGTTCTTCAACCAACCATCCGAACTCCTTGCGACTGTCATGACTTGAAGGTACTGCATGATACATAATGTTAGGTCGATTTGATGGTACTGAAACAGTGAAAGTGTCCAAATCCATACACAATGATGACAGAATGTCCTTCCTTATTTCCTCAGTAGCTGTAGCTGTGAGAGCCATGAACGGTACATCACCAAGCAAGGATCTCAGTTCTGCCAATCGCTTGTAATCCTTCCTGAACTCTCCACCCCTGTAAAATAGAGTAACACTGTTAGCTATGTAAGGAATACGGCACAACGTTTCATATGGTCTTTAGTAGCCAATTTACTATTAACAACTTTTGACATCAAAGTGTTGGTGTGCTACATGATGTGAAAAAAAATAACGTTACACCGGCTTGTCATGAGTCTCGTAACTTTCATATGTACAGCATCCATGCTTACTACGTTGCCTACAATCACTTGACTGTCACATTAACAACAAAATCTTATTTATTTACTAACACACGCAGCACTCCCGCATAGACAAGATTATACCAGCCCCCCTCCCCCTTTCGCGTGGACACGCATTTATTATATAGTATACATGCACATGCATTGTCATTTTCTTACACAGCCCCACGAAACTATATTTAAAAAAGCTATTGCAGAATTTTAGTCATGCCTTGAAATGCAAAGTACCATACCAAGACGTTATGCAGTGAGCCTCGTCGACGGCAACACCAACAAGATGTTCGCGGTAAGTCTTGTTTGTCAACATCCCTCTCCAACTTTTAGAGTTCAGAATCGCCTCTGGCGATACGAAAACCAGGCTATATTTCCCCTCAATTACTCCTCTCTTGACATCAGCATCTTCCTGCGTCTCGCCGACATAGGCAGCTTTGATCCCTCCCTGCTGCAGGCGTTGTACTTGATCCTGCATTAGCGACAGCAACGGAGACACTACCAGCATCACACAGTGTTTCCCCAGCAATCTTTCCATGACAAGAGGGACCAGCGTGTAAAGTTCCGTCTTGCCGTAGCCAGTGGGCAAGCAGGCAAAAATGTCCTTTCTCCTCTGGACAAAGTACGTCACCGCCTTCTCCTGAAGTGGCTTCAGAGGCCAAGGCCGACCAAAATCCTTGCAAACAGACTCAAGGAGGGGCCGAAACTCGCCTTCGACTGTGGAAGAAGCCGCCATTTTTCCTCGAAATAAACAACCAACAAGATAACATTTGTCACCCCGCCCGCGCTCCGCCCACCGTCTGGGCCGCGGCGCCAGCAGTGACATCGCTAACTAGCGAATTTCCATGGTAACGGGGGCTCGACTAAATTCCTACCCCGTGATTGGTGTTACAACTTTCGCTAACGGCTCCCCGGCCTTAGAGAGAGTGGCGCACAAGCTCTTGGGTGGCGGACTATGTAGGGAGCCCCCCGGAGCTTGGGTTACATAGGCTAAGTATACACATGTACATGTAGAACCAATTTCATTTCGAAATTCTGTAAAGCCATACTGATTTTGTAGATGACATTCTACTTCGTACTGAAGCTAAAACATCAGCACATGAACATGCATTCTACTTAGATGTATTAAGTGAAACTTTATTTATTAATCAGCTGTGTACTGTACCGGTCTGGGTATTACATGAATTTCATATCATCTACAAAGAGCATGAATGACGCACAGAACATACCTTCTCAATTGGTCTTGTGTAAACCAATATTAATGGAAAGTCCACAGCTCTTAGCAATATATGAGTATTGGGTGCCGAGAAATGCGCCTTTCAATGTGATGTCCCTGCCTAATAAGCGTCATAATAAATTCCTGTCGCGCCTGTATAATTAACTGTGTTGCTGTCCTTGGTAACCAAAATAAAACACATATTAAGTGACTTGCGGCTTAGCATATTTTTTGACATGATTTGACATCCTTCTTGTAAATGCACAGTCTCTTGCTATGTTCTGGCTGTCGTCCGCCTCTCACTGACCGTACCAACCGCTGAATGTACACACTTGAACTCAGAGTTCAAAACAGGAACAACTGGCATCTTTTATTCAGCCTTTTCAAATTTCTAAGCATTTTGGCAATATACATAGAAGTGATGCATTGTACATTTCCTGTATGAAAGCGTTGCGAATCCAATGTTCAATCTTACTTCGTGAAACTAAAAGATGTCAAACAAATACACCAGGATTTTGTAGGTGGCATTCTTCTTAATTGGCACTTCAGCTTAAACATCAGCACATGTACATGTACATGCACATGTAGATACTACTTAGCTGTGTCAGGTGAAACTTTTTTTACTCAGTAATGTACCATAGGATTTGAGAATTACATGGATTTGATATCATCTTAAAAGAATGTGAATGACGCACGAAACATACCTTTCACTCAGCCTTGTGTTAACGAAAATTGATGGAAATTTAAAAAAAAACAGCATTAAATGAGTTTTGGTCACCGACAAATGCGCCTTTCGGTGTAACGTTTCTGCCTGATAAGGGTCATCATAAATTCCTGTCAACTGCACACCTGTATGATAGCCTGTGTTGCTGTCCTTAGCAACTACACCAAACCACATGTACATGAATTGACTTGTGGCTTGACATTTTTGCTATATACCTGCATTGTGTAGAAGTAATGGAGTGTATATTTCCTGTACAATATAGATGGTTAGATTGTGACGGACTTCGAATCTAAAGTTCAATCCTATTTTGGGAAACAAAAAGATTTTAAAAAATACAACAGGGTTAATTTCTGTCGACTGATCAATCCAATTCTTTTACTCTGATCAATCAAATTTTCTTTTCTTTTTTCAAGTAAAGAGGTTGGTTGATTTTTGTGGATCGCAACATGTAAGTTCTATTAGATGTGTCAGGTTAAACTTAATTCACTCAATGATGTACTGCACTGGTTGGGGGAATACGTGAATTAAATATCATCTTAACATATAGCCCTTACGACAGAAAAAATAATAATAATAGACTAAGCATTAATTGTATGCTAATGTGCTCAGTACCATATGTTACTGCGCTTTAATTGTATGCTAATGTGCTTAGTACCATATGTTGTACGACATTAACATTTTTGACATGTCATCTAACAGTTCTGTAATTATAGATATTATTATAGTAATGCAAGACAAGAAATATTTTCCATCATCCTTTTATAAAAAAGCAGACTGCGTAATGTACATATATGCAAGGTTTTACTTCAAATATAGAATAATTAACTACCGACTTTTAGCCACATGTCTCGACATAACTTACATTGTATACGTATGCACGTATATGTTCATTGTCAAATAAGCTGGTAAATTAATTCGTTTTATGGTGACTAGCAAACGAACATTGACATAATCACATAATATACAGTATGTAATACACATACATATAACAGATTGATATAAGTAGACTATGTACAATTGAGTAATTTTATATCTAGTCGAATAATACAATGTCCCAATGATGTATCATACATGAACGCACATACATGAACAGATTCCACGCTTACGACCATCTATGACAGACTATGCTGTAGCCATAGTTACATAATAATAACTTTATTGCGCAACAGTTGTACAGTGTACAAAGTATGGCATCTACTAACTTAAGTAAGTACAAATCAACTACATTATTATAAGGCTAACCTGGCTAATACAGAAGTGGGTGGCTAGTATGAGATAGGTATCAACTTACACAATCGTTGGAGGAGTTTCTAATATCCATACAGTCTTTAATATATATCTCTATGTATAGCATGTAGTCACAATTCAATATGTATTTAAATTTGCTTTTCAAGTTCATTGTGGTAACTGCTCGAAAAGAATCTGATAGTCTAGTGTATAGGGTATTGCGTATATCAAGGACACACAATCAAAAAGTGATATTCGTTCTCAATAAGCTCTTGACAACAAGAAAACTATGAGTGTAGACACCCGCCTGTCTCTTCAGACCAAGCCGTCAGGCGTTCTATAAGGTGCTGTCGTAACTAGCACTATGTTTGTCAAGCCTCTCCAGTACGTGTCCTACTGCATCAAGTATATCTGACGGAGTGTCTTTTTGAGCCTGTAACTTCCGCCGTCTAATTTTTGACGTGGCGGTCTTTACTTTGCTTCCTGCACTTGATGTTGTTTGTTTCAAAAACGAAACAAACCCGACATCTTCTGGATTTGCCTCCTGCTTGTGCTGTGCGTATATGTCCATAATGATGGCCATAAACATGCTTAGTAAGAAAAACTGCATCATGACTTGATACCAGAAAAAGAATAACGGACCCAGTATTCTATTTCCATTCAGCAGAGCCTCAAAGTTAAAGCTGCCCAACATCATAAGAAGAAGATTCTGTAAACTTGAGGACATACTTATAAAAAATTTCAGCTTGGTACCAAAGACCAAATTGGCCATCATGGTGAAAGCTGTAACTATTATGCCCACTGTAATCATAAAGCGTGCCACATGTTTGAACGATCTCTTCATTGTCATGGATAAGGCGTACACGTGGGAGTTGAAGCGCAGTATGCGGAGGAATTTCAACGTGGCACAGCAGAGGAACAGGCCCAGGAGAAAACTGTAGACCTGGAACCAGTCGACAGCGTCTTTGTACATAATAAAGGCATCATTGCCGGCTGCTCTGTGCTCTGATAGGTCATCAATGATGTCTTGTGAGTAGAAGTACATACACAGGGTGCAGAAGCCGACGGCAATGGTAACCAGTTCCAACCAGTTCCAGGCATCATTAACGTATTCCAATGGTCGGAAAAAGAGCTTTTTTCCTGTGGTTAAGTAAAGAAAAACAAAAAATGTTAACATTAAGATCATTACTTTTTTGTTTAGGCGTGTGCACGTGGGAACGACAACAAAAGATCTCATGGTAATTAGCGTTTATGTGTGTTTATGTGTGTGTGTGTGTGTGTGTGTGTGTGTGTGTGTGTGTGTGTGTGTGTGTGTGTGTGTGTGTGTGTGTGTGCGACTGTGTGTGTGTTTTGTCGCTATACAACAGAAGTCCATACCTTCTGTAAACGCAAAATACAGTAGAAAAAGCACCAGGCAGACTCGCAGCAATAAAAGCAAGACGGCATCGTGTTGGATCAGACGCACGGTGATGACATCATAACTTGTATAAGCTGCTCCAAGATTGGTGAACTCCACAGCCAATGATAAGACAGTAAACAGGTTGACGTGCGGGTTGTACAGTACGAGTTCGACAAACACTGCCCGTGTCTGGTCGTCCAACCAGTTGTGTTGTCGTAAATAGGTGGTTATGTTGAAACGTGACCTCTCTGTGGTTCCTAAAGAGGCGATGTAACCACCGCCACGGTACGTGCCATGTTCACCAACATACGGAATACCTGGGGGTTAGATGAATAAGTGACATTTAATAAGTAATAATGGGTAGCGAGTTAATAACACTATTTAGGCAAACATGCTTTTTTTCTATACCGGGAGAGGGGGGGGGGGTTAGGCCTTATTCCTTCAGTTCTAAAATACATTTCGTATTACCTTCAAATAGAGGGTGGTGTACTAGCAAAATTAGTTATGCCACTATACTACTTTTTCGTCTAAGTAATCGTCTAAGTACGTCTCTTTTTCCGACAAAACGTAAAGGTATGCAATAAAAAAATCTACAGTGTGTTTTATAATATAATGTAAGCACATCTTTGTCCTGATGTTCCATTGTCACATATTTCAATCAAAAAGTACATAATTATAGGTTAAGATAATTAAAAGCATACCACTTGCAAACGACACAGTAGATGTATACTTCCACATATCTTGCAAGTGGACCTGTTCTGTAGCACAGTCATTATACTCGAAAGATCCGGTGACATTGGGTGGTACGAGGTTCTTGTTACATTCCTCATTTTCTCCACGAGTAGAATCATTGAAAATCCAGCCTTGTGAGAAATTCCGCTTGTCCGATACTTCATCAGAGTATGCTGAGGTACATCGAGACATTACAGCCTTCATTTGGTAATGTATTTCACAATGTGAGTCTGCAAGTTTGAAGATGGCGGAAGTTAGATTACGACACATTGTTTTACAGTTTATTTTGCACAAACAACTTTTAGCTTTTAGAATAAACTTTAAAAAAAAAACATGATTTGACCAGGTACGTAATCGATTCACGACTTACAATAGATTATCCTTTTTCAAGTGTTTTAATTTTGGAATTGAAATTTTCATTCTTGCTACACGGTAAAGAAGCAACTGTCTACATTGACACTAACCTGGTTGTAACCTGACTTGCCGTAGTTGTACTTGTCCGATAGGGTACGAAAACTTTAACGTCTCTTTTTGTTTTGCAGGAAGAAAACTTAGAGTGAACCAAGTCCAAAACGAGGAGATATCCTTGACCTAAAACAGGTTGGTAGAGTATCATTTAAATTCTGCAAACAATCTTGAAGAATAAAGATATATTGGAGGTGAAAACCAATTAGATCTCCCATACATTATGGCCATATTGGATCGAATTAGTCTTTGACGTTTTAACCGTGGACGTTTTTATGGCAAATAGGCTTCATATGGAAACATTACAGCTTCATATAAAGGCTTAATAGTACTACGGATTATACGCTGTACCTCTGTGACATCACCGCCTTCAAGAATAACGTTTTGTTCGTGTTGAGTCATGTGGTAAGCCAACGGGCTCCTTTCCATGTAGGACGTCATCATGAGGACCGTGAAGAACAGCCAGAAGACTAGAACCTCGACAACAACCTTACGCCGTCTTCTCTTTTCTCTCTGTTCAGTCAGACGGGCCTCCATGGACGGTGGCTCATGGTCAGGAGCTGGGTTCTTTTTGATGTTGTTGACAAAAAAAACGCACAATGACACAATGATTAATGATAAGTTACATGATAAAATCAATTATAAACATTATTACTAAAATGGTAGGAAAATAAATCTTAACTAAATCATTGCAAAGTAAAGGATGCTGGTCACCAGGTGTCCTTACAGTCGGCTAGCTTGACCTACGTTTGAAGTTTAGGTTCGTAAATGTACCTTTTTGTCATTGGCATGATGATCTCTTGGTGCTTCCTCATTAAAATAAAGCTTCCATATTGTTGCCGTCGTCAAAGGGCTGGGGCTGTCTTGGATTGTCTTTCATAAAAAAGAGATAAGGAACAACCATTATCATGATATTTTCAGACATTCATTTGTGTTTTATAACTTACCTTCCTATGCTATTACTGTTATTTAGATTATTGAAGTTCAAATGTCTGAATGAGAAAATATTTAACAAGCACAAATTACCTGAAGATATTCCTCGTCGTTTTGTAGTGAAGCTGGTGGAGGATCCTCGTCTTCCACAGGCTTCTGTTTTATTTTCACACCATACAAAGAACGTAGCATTACGTATCATTACGTACCATTACATATATTATCATATTTATTTTTACATATCACATGTATGATATAAAGTAGGCCCTTGATATCTCCTTTATGCGATAAAATACACGTTAGAACGTTATGACTTTTTTTGCGTAGTAATCACAATTTATTGCTTTAAGACGGGAAGTGACGCGGGAGGTAGCAGTATAAAGTACAGAGTCGTTGTGTTTTAGCATGAAGTATTTTCTGAATTTATTTAAGTCATTACAAAGCATTAAAAGAAGTCTGAAGATCGCTGACAGTGGACGTGGGGATTGCAATAGATTCACAGTCAGATCCGTGTGAATCTATTGCAATGAATTGCAAAGTGCTTCGATCACAACCATTTATTTTTCACGAGCCGACGTTTCGATGACCGTCTGCCATCTTTATCAGGGCAATTCTAGGTTGCTGTGCACAGTGACGCTAGATGTTACTTAGTGCATAGTGCACTAAAGGTGTTACATGGTTCACAGTTTACTGTTACTTGGTTCACTATTGTACTATTGCAATGTGTAACATACCAAAGAAACAACAAATGAAATTGAAAGGGTGGAGATACCTTTGCAAGTAAACCAAACATCACGGCCACGGCCAACAGCTTGAAAGGTTGCGTGAGAAATAAGTCGATGACAAACGTCGTCAGAAAAGTCACGATCCAAGCTTCTGCCTTTGCACGTCCAAAACTTAACGTGTAGAGGACGGTGAAGTACGCCGCTGTGAAACCAGCTGCCCAGAGGAGAACCCACGCTGTAGGAACAGGATTATTAGTCATTCATATAATGAAGACGAACATCTTAATATTGCAAATGTACGTCACAGATGTACCGTTTCAATACTAAGAATTAGTTGTTACAAATTACAAATCAAACAAGAATTCTGAGACTTCATACCTCCATGAAATATGGGCTTGATATGTAAATGTAAAATTTCCTCTTTTATTATGCAAATTACCTCCGCATTAACATGATATATGCATCATGATGTATGTTAACTTTTGATTAACTTACAGATGTCCCAAGTATGACATTCCCATTATTCACCATTAAGAAATCATAGAATTTTTGCATAAATTATGCAAATTAGGTCATAATTTGCATAATTAGTATCTGTTGATGTTCTGCCTGCCATAGGTTACATACATTACATGTATGAAAGTAGTATAATGTAAAACACTGTAATCATAGAATTTCCTCATTAATTATGCAAATAAAGTCCTCATTTGCATAATTTGCATTTAATCATGTACATCTCTCTCTAAGCTACCTACACACCAAAAATTATGAAAATATGTTGTTCCTATCTGGACTTATTGGCTTTTAAACATTACGCCAGAAAGTGCCCTGCAGTTCCAAAACAAGCTGCTAGGGGGACCAAACTCACACCACTTATTCCTGACAGGAAAAACAATCTGTCACCAAAACATCAAGACCACAGCATGTTCAGGACAAAAGATACAAAAACCGGAGGTTCTGCTGCAGTACCAAGGTCATCCACCAGGAGGCCCATATTTGACCTTGACGTTTGTCTTCCTAAGACTAACCAACATACCAAATATCATCATAATCCATAAAGGCGTTCTGAAGTTATGCTGACCACAAAGTTGCGGAAACACACCTCTTCCTCTTCCAGTTGAAGTGACCGCTATCATCAAGTTGATCATTCTGTCACTTTTAGTTGAAGGAGGCGAGAGGTCACCAACCTAAGACTGATGTAGTTTGGAAGCCCTAGACACAAAGGTGTCAACAGATGTGGCTTCCACCGTTGTCTGAGGCAGAGCATTCCATTCTTTGACTGTGCGTGGTAAAAATGAGGCCATACGGTACTGGGTCCTACCACCTGGCTGTACAAACTGCTGGCCGTGCACCCTTCTCTCACGTACTGTGGCAGGCTGTAGTTTACTCCTAAGACCATCTGTGCAGACGATGTTATGCTGTATGCGGTATAGCATGGCAAGTCGGGCTGTCTTCCTTCGGGCCTGAAGACTGGGCCAGTTCAGGTCCTCTAGCATTTCTGTGGGACTTGACGTTTGCCTGTAACGTCTCATCACGAAACGTGCTGCTCTGCGCTGAACTGCCTCTAGCCTATCAATGTCTTGTTGGGAATGAGGGTCCCAGACTGTCGCCGCATATTCAAGTATGGGGCGTACATAGGTCTTGTAGGCCAATTCTTTAATGCGCCTGGAGCTGATCTTCAGGTTCCTCTATAAAAAGCCCAAGGTCTTGTTGGCTTTGTTACAAAGGTTGTTAATGTGTTCTTTCCAGGTAAGGTCTTTTGTTATAGCTACACCCAAGTATTTAACACTGGGAACCGTCTTGAGGGTGTGACCATGGAGCTGGTAGTCGTACTGAAGGGGTCTCCTACTACGGGTCACCCGCAGAGTCTGACACTTCCCTGGATGGAACGACATATCCCACTTCCGCTCCCACTCAGCAAGTCTCTCCAGGTCTTGTTGTAACAGGGCCTGGTCTTGGATGGAAGTGATGGTGTTATACGCAGCCGTGTCATCGGCAAATAGTCGTGCCGATGAAGTCAGTGCTGATGGCAAATCGTTGATGTATATCAAAAATAACGAGGGCCCCAGGACTGAGCCTTGGGGCACACCCGATTTTACGCTGACAAAGTCTGAGCATTCCCCATTAACTACCACCGCTTGAGTTCTGTCTGTAAGGAAAGCTGTGATCCAAACGTTGACTTCCCCCCGGATGCCATAGTAGTGTAGTTTGTGTTGTAGGAGACTATGGTTGACAGACAGACAGACACACAGACATACAGACACACAGACATACACACAGTCACACACAGACAGACACACAGACATACATACATACAGACACGCCAAAAACAATACCTCCATTTTTCATGGAGGTAATCAGAAAGGCATAACACTCCTCTAGAGCAAATAACCTGCTAAATTTGTATCAATCGAATTTGTAGTCTAGATAAAATAGAAGACGAGGTACATTTTACTATAGATTGCCCTTTGTATGAAACATTTTTTTTCGATTATGTGTTAAGTAAATTCTCCTATTTTAGGTTTTTGAATAGTATAGAGACATTTATATTTATAATAGTCTCCGATAAACCAACTCTAACGTATCATACAGGCACCTACATTTATACAATTACCAAACAGCGAGAAGTCGAAAATACTAGTTTATACTAGACGTTTATATTTACATCTATATACATTTTACATGGTTGTTAACGTGTGACATGTGCGTAGCCCAGTGGGACAAAAATGTACAACTTCTACAGTTCTTCATTCATTCATTCATTCATTCATTAAAAAAGAGAGATTTAATACCTGAAAGTCAAGGATTAATAGTTTTTACAATTTTCCAAGTAGAGTTGTCAATGACTACCTGCAGAAATAAATCTTATTGGATATGTTAATATAAGAACGTTGGCTACACTACAATACCCCACATTTGGTAGAGCAATGTACTCACTCACTCACGCACTCACTGACTGACTCACTCACTCACCTATGTAGACTGTCCACCATGGAAAAGAAAACTTGGTCTTGTTTGCCGATGAGTTGGTCTTTGCTGCTGGAAGACAGGACTCGACTTTGCCTGTCGGTGACTCTGAATGTTCTGTGGAGCTGCTAGAAAACTCAGGGTACCTAGCGATCGGCGCTTTTAACGCATACGACCAAACTGTTGGTACATCTGGGTCGTCACTGGTCGATGTAAAGGATGCCGTGTTGTCTACCCGCTTTGCCGTCTTGGCTGTTGTACTTGTCTTGTACTTATCTTTGTTGTCGGCCTTGGTTGTCGAGTTGGAATGTCGAAACAGGAAGACGATGAGAAGATTGACAGGCAAGATGATGGCTGCGGTCTGGATACTTATCATTACCTGAAAGCGATTATGTTGATACAACTCCTGTTGTAACATTAGCATGCAAATGGATCTGAAGTTTAACAATCAAGTCAGATTGAAAGAAAACACCTACTAATATCCAACTGGAACGTTCTAATTGCCTTGTTTCGGACGACATGGGAGCCCCAATAGGCCGTCTTCACATTGAGCTCGCGAAATTAGTCTCTACCAGCCTCCTATTTGAAAAATAGTAGAAATTGGCCTAAAAAAGGAATATCATTGGCCAGAGGAGATGACCGCCATAGCCAAGGCAAGCTGGAGATTCAATGGCGACCATCTCCTCTGGCCAATGATATTCCCTTTTAGGCCAATTTCTACTATTTATCAGCCTGCAAAAGAAGGCTGGTGGAGACAATCGCGAAACCGCGACCCGGGTAAGTCGGATCGCACCTCACACCTGGTCCGCGCACCGCACGTTTCTTTGCAATCGTGCCAAAAGGTGTCCAAGCTCGAATCCTTGATAGCATTCAGACGGAGCCACATCAATCCCACTTTGGTTGATTCCGGCTTCAACGCGGTTTTGCGAGCTTAATGTAAAGAGGGCCTAAGTCTAAGTAAATAATATCCATCTGGCCATGACAAAAAAGACAAATGTTATCTACCGAAAATGCATTTACACGTGCGGGGATCTGCTTAACACTCTTTAACAAGACCAGTGGACCAGAGTTACAAATTTCAACCCCGTTCCCGGATTGCAGCCTTTTTTTAGTATCATGTAGTTCGGTCGGATAATAACCACTTACAGTACAATGTAATATATAGGGAAATCATATATAATTTCAATTCTTAAAACTATTTATATGAACTTTGGATGCCAGGATTTTTTATTCCTTTAAAACTTTTAAATATGCACATAAATATCAATGTAATATCAATGATTAACCATAACATAACAGATTTTCTAATAATGTCTTAAATTTTTCATATTTACCTGTGCCAAGGAAACAGGTGGCTTGATTACCAGTCCTGCGAATCGGATTGGGGCCGGTGGGTCAAAGTCGTCACCGCGGCCGAAGAACATGATGTTGGTAAACATGGTGCTGTACAGGAGGGTCAGGCAGCAGGACAGGCGCTGGGCTCGGGTGAAAGGGCTTCGCGCAGGGCGACCAAGCACCGAGAACCACACATGGTCATCGTTCATGTCCCTGACAAATGTAAAGGTGAGATTTATGATCCTATAGGTGTAAAGATGGGAATAGGTCAACATAAAGGTAAGATGTAAAGAACTAAATGACAAACCATGAGAAAGAATGTAAGAAATTATTAACAGAATTGATCGTAATGATACAGTGTTGCTTTGTAATCGTCGAAAATCTAGCCGCACTTGTTATTGAGCATCGCTTGTGGGTTAGGGCAAACTTTCAATATCATGAATGACATCCTGTGGATTCCACAACACTGAGCGCAAAAAAAAAAAATAAAGCAAGAAATGCTGCTAAACCACAGGAATAGAAAGGTGGTGTTGCGAATTTGCGGTAGTGCATAACGACTTTTAGAAGCCGACCTTTTAGTTTTGCGGCATTTATGAGTCGGCACTGTACCGAGTTTGGACTTCCGTGGGGCGCCCCGTAGGCTGGGTGCCGTCCTCCGTAGTTACCACCGGTTCCCTATTGGCGCTAACTACCATGGACTACGTAGGATGGCACCCAAGTCAGAGCCTGAAAGTAGGTGATTTTTTTTAGAACAGGCGAAAATCAATGCGAGTGCGGATGCCATCCATAAAAATTATATCATTGTGGCGTCATGTAGCATTACAAGTCAGAGTCCCAGAAGTTTGATTGTCGTTGCCTTCGTCCTTGAATTACCTCGCGCTTTTAGCCAGGAACAGGTTACGGAAGTCGGTCATCTCGTCTGGTGTAGCTTTTGGGAGGACGCGGTGAACTTTGCCATCGTCCTCGTCAGCTGCCAGCCACCTTTTTTTATTCAAAATTAGTATTATATTAAGATCTATTACATACTGTCTCTTTCGTAAGATAAATGATCTATTATCTATAATTAATTTAAAGCTACGTGTATCACACAGCACCTGTGATCTATGGTTATTTTATCGTCTGTGATCTATAATTATTCTTAAAATATCATGTTTTCTGACCTGAAAATATTTTTAAGAAATAGATAAATGTGATAAATAATCTTAAGTCTTAAAGTATATTAATCCTTGCATTTTGTTTACAAAGGCTTACCTGTTACACAGAAAATAGCTAGTCTCACCAGTCCCTCTGTTCGTCACGACAATCTGCCTTAAGAACCTGACATAAAGGCAGACTGAATCAGTTATTTGTAATTGTGAGCTGGCTTTCAAACGACAGGACTCACCACATATTGTACTTTCTCGTCAGGTATAAAAGTCAGTTTTCACTTAAAAATGAAAAAAAAATTAATCCATACCTTCAGCATGCTTGGGAGCATTTTTTTTCTTTTC